TGGCTTAATGCTGAAGTGAAACGTTCAAACGACAGGCCAGTTTACATGAGTGCCACAAGTTGTGATAAGCTCCTCAACCAGAAAACCACGGTTTGTTTACCACTAGTCGATTTATGTTTGATTACTTTTTCCCATGTGGCAATCAATCATTCTACCATCGCACTAGACTCCTGTTGTGGTTAAGCTGGGGTGGGCTCATTGTCACCATTTTTCAGTTCAGTTTTTGTACAACCATTAACCATGCATCATTGTGCGCCGGTTTTGGTTGCTGTCTTTTGGCTGTCCATTTGGATGAAGAACAGTAGAAGAAAGGAAAGTTGAAAGTGGAGTCGAACAGAAAATGGAGAAGTTCAGTGGTCTAAGATCGAGGAGATGCACGAACACCACTGTTTGCGACACCCAGCCATGTTACTCGGTGTCTCTAAACCACGGTTACGATCATCCCGAGGTCCCCAGCCAGGGGGCCTAGCAGGATCTATGTGACCTAGTCTCTTGGTTAGGGTTTTCTGCCCTCGTGCCAGGTCTTAGCTTGACCACCATTGAGAAAAGAATAAGCCTGTGTGGTCGTCTAAAGTTCCGAAATAACGACAACCAATGATCTACGCGCTCCAGTTTCTGAACAGCAACAACAATTTGGACCATACACAAACCAATGCGGTTTAGACAAGAGTGCTGTGACGAAGAGAACACAAATGGTGATCGGTTAACGCCTGTTGGGACAGCGGTGATCCTTCGAAAAAATATTACTTTTTGCCTGCGTATATTTCTACATTACACTACACTATAGCACTGATGGAGTTTCTAATTCAATCATTGAATGAGTATTCAGGATTCTTAATGTCATTGTGGTGCTCAAGAATACCAGTTTATTGTCGCTCCTCACCTAATTTTGTAGATTGATGTATTTGAAAGTGTTCCCAGTAGTGTACCGTCTTCGGCAAAACGGTTAATTTGACCCCAACTCATCGCAATCCGAGTTTGTGCTTTGCTATCTTTTTCTATTCTGTTGTACTACGGCAATACGTTTAGGTTTAGACGCGAACTTCGGTGAGTTTGTAAATATTACTGATTTTCCTGTGGGATTTTTTATAGTTATCACAAAGTCTGTTCAAGCCGATCACAGTGAATGGAACCATACTGTCGCTGGAGAGAACAAATACCGTTGCGATCCAACCATCGAATGTTGTAGAGGACCAATGGAGCAATAAGGCAATCACCGTCGCATCACAGACACGATAAATGCCACCTCAAACACCGGAGCTAATTGTTCAGTTCGATGAAACTAAAGCATCGTGAATCAATAATCATCGGTTTGGTGTCACGATATATTTTTCAAGCTAACATGCATAACGAAACCTCTTTAGAGAGAAATGCATATTATATTAGTAGATAGTTAGCTTTATTTATATACAGACATTGACAAAACTCGTGCAACATTCTGATTTTCATCACATTTGTTCCTCTCAGTGCTTAGTTTTTCCAGCCCCATTCACGGGATTGAATATGATATTGCCCTACATCAGACGCAACATATCTGTCATAATACCCACTTATGTCACTGCTTCGAGTAGCCGCATGCCATTGAAATTTACAATTTCGCGTTTTTGACGACGGTTGCTGGTGCATCAGTTGTAGGATAACAAAGTCACAGTAGAAAACGTAACTGTTTAAAACAATGAACTCCTATACTGCTTTGCCTGAAATCTTTTTCAAATCAGAGCCGCAACTTTCGAACTACTACAAATATTATCGCGACACCCAAGGTCGCGCAAATTCAAACGGTGAAGGAAAAGAACTAAGACGATAGACGTTGGAGATAAAGTCAGGAGTTAATACACTGTACTCATAGCCATCTATATATAAGTATGGTAATGCAAGCCGAAATGGATTTCCAAAATGAGATTGATGTTGCAGGAGTTTAGTCAACACCTATAATGGGTTTCGCGTTGCACAGAGTAAATGAAGCGTGGGTTGAAAAGCTAGAAAGCACTGGACGGCTGTTTGAATCTGGTTGGGTCTCATCACCGATGCGAATCCATCGACCCAACTGGGGATCGAACCCCGCGGACCTCACAGGTGGAACGTAAGCACACTGCCACAACTAGGCCACCGGGTAGACCGTTTTTCATTCGTTACACGACATAGTACAACCCATCTTACCTTGCTTAGCTCAGCACTAGCTTCCCGGGGTATGACTCGGTCGGAAACATTCCAACTCGACCCTATTAGGTAAAAACAGCCATACATTACTCCCCAGATTTTCAGTCCACACTCCATTTACTCTGTACACGATGCGATTTGTAAATAATTTCGCTGTGTTGATGGATCCGGCTTTCTGTATGCATCTGGCTGGATTAAATCCGCTGTTCGTACATTTACAGAAAACGGCGTATGCACATTTTTGAAAGCTTTTTCAGCAAATAATTTCAGTATAATTGACAAAAATGTAGCAAACCAGACAGCTGTGAACCCGCATGACTACTCACCTCACTTCATCAGACTTTTATCCAATCTCTAATTGACCAAATAAACGGTTTCCTTTGAACTGATTTGTAATGATTCATTTCGTCCTTCTGATCAGTGGTTACTGGAAAAAAACGGAAATAATTATTTGGTGTACCCCGTGAGAATGGTTTTACCTTTTAAACAGTGGCATTTTGTTGAGTGTCCTCGGACCATGCAACTTTACTCTAATCTGATTACTAACAAGTTGAGATAATTAATGTATCGATGCGATGAACAACAATGATATTAACAATGATAATAATGTTAATAATAACAAACAAATATAAGTATGGCCAAGTTTTAAATATTCAGGTGATCAGTTTGTTTCCTTGGCTTGTAACTAACCTGAGCAACTTAATTGAAAACATCGACTCGACACACGGAACGGAAATAGGACGAAGATTGTGAAGAAATTCCCAATGAATCAGACAATCAGTCGAATTACCATGTAGTGACTGCACCATTCGACATGATAGATGGTTGTTGGATGTGTTTATCGGTGTCTCATACGGCCACACCCAGTTTACCAACAACACGTAAGTTAAATCAAGCCATGTCAAATGACTTTCTTTCAATCCTGAGGTGACTTTTCGGCTGCCTGATAATCGATCAATAACAACTGGAGAGACAATGGAGGTGATTGCAACTATGGTGTTAATGTGGTGTGGTAAATGAATTCCAGAGAATACTGTCTGGCCGCCAGAATAACCCGAAAGGATAGGGAACTGCAGAGTTTGAGGTGGTTGTTTTACGTGCTTGATGGTGATTTTAGACAGACAGACAGACAGACAGACAAACAGACAAACAGACAGACAGACAGACAGACAGACAGACAGACAGACAGACAGACAGACAGATAGATAGACAGACAGACAGACAGACAGACAGACAGACAGACAGACAGACAGACAGAGTAGAATAACGATGCATGCAGGGCAAAACTGACTGGGTGATTGGAGGTCAGACAGTTTCTCACACGTCAGCATCGCACAAGGCTTCGTGTGCAGGAAGGTAATGGGAGAAATGACTAAGGCCAGAATGAAGTGCAGAACACAGGAATCAATTCTTGACTGATTTGGATGTCGCACGGTTCACGAGAGAGGCATAGAAACCGGGTGTTAGAATGCAGGTCCGTATAAGTAGCCTTATCAATTATCATTATTTTGGATCAACAGACAATCATCGCAAACAGGCCTGGAGGCTTGGCAGATGAAAGTTTAGGAAGGAGAAAACATGGAATTTTGAAGGATCCCGATTGAAAATTTAAGGTTAATGAAACTTGATCACAGCAGTGAGTAAATGTATCCGACACAAAAGTATTTTTCAAGGATTACGGGAGCAACACAATGGTCTGCAAGGATGAAGAGAAGCTGAGGTCACTCCGTACCTACCAATGCATCACTTTTGTTGAAACATCTCTCTCATTATCCGTGGAATGAAAAATACGATACACCAAAGAAGGCAGAGCGCCCATTGCGAGTCGTTTAAAAAAATGGATAAGTTTAATACAATTATTTTTTCTCAATTTGTGTAAAGGCATTTTGCCAAATACCTTACTAGGGGACGGACACAACGCCGGCTAAATAAAGAAAGAGATTTCATGGAACCGTTCGAGGGAAATTATTGACTTGTTGTCGGTCCTCCAACAATCCGAATATCAAATCTTTAGGAAAGAAAGTGACTGAAGATTTCAGGCTGGATGAGTGACAGAGTGCTGACTCATTCTTTTCAGCACCGTAGGTTATAATCCATCTGACCAGCTGGTCCTACGGGGTTTTGATTGATTTACTTTGTTCCTATGCTTCTATTTGATCAATTAAGCTCGGAAGATCATCGGGTAGCGAAAGTAAATTCGACTTTTGTGAACACCTAAAGTTAGTCAGTCGGACAAAGCAACATTACATGTATCTTCAAGAAGAAAGTGCTCATTGGCAGAACCACCCTAGAAGTGTTTTCAGATTCCCCGGGTTTCTCGATAGCTTTAGTTTGAAACAATCTGTTGAATGTATTTGTAGATAAGTTTGCGAATTTCAATCCTGATGGACTTTGACTGCAACCTCACTAGCTTACAGTCCGTTGAGATCAAAAAGCTCTTTCCTATTTGGACGCAGTTGGTTCATGAGGGTAGCAAACTCCGAAACGGAAGTTAGGATATTCATTTCATAAGATAGATTGGGTTTGGATCACAGAATACGGAAACGTTTGCCATAAGAACCACGACCCTGAGTTTCCTAAGATGTTCGTGGTAAATTTGGCACTTTTGAAGCTTACTCGGCAAAAAATGAAAGATTTATGGTGAATGAGACTGAAAATCTTGGCGTCAATCAATATTAGAGTTTTGTTTATAAGAAAACGATCAGCGGTGTTGTTCATCCTGATATATATATATATATATATATATATATATATATAATTATCTCACGCCTTATCTCTATAGTTTAGTTTAAAAACATTGAGTTTGCTCACACCGTTACGAGGCCGAGAGAATCACTTACCGTTGATGAACAAATCCAGTGGATCCAAACCATTTTCAACTAGATTTTCTTTCACGTAATCGGTTATTTTATCTTTCGCATTATCTGATCCGTTTGTCAATATTCTGCTTCGCCGATCCGCATAGAAGAACACCACAATGGCCGTGTAATCACTTTTGTTATAATATCGATCCATGTAGATAGGAGATTTCTTTGGCATTATTTTTAAATCCGAACGCATTTTTTTCAGCTGAAACAAATTGACACGCGACAACATTAAAACAAATGTGAACCGCGGAAGTTAACTATCAGGCGGATGGTGTGAAATGCATAGTTCGATTATTCAATATTGACATGAGTATGCATTTGAAACGAAACTCCCTGTCATTTCGGTAAATCACCCGAAAGTGTTTGCCATTGTTCAGAGGGAAACAATTCATCCCGTCAGGCATTTTATACTTCTATGAGTCAGATATTTGAGAGAAACATTAGAATAAATGGCTCTTCCATCCATGTTTCTGTGGTAGACTGAACACGTTTGACCGTCGGCTCCGATGCGTCTCCGTGGTTCAACGATTCAGAGAAATAGCCATTGCAACCTGTCAGGTTATTCCAACTCATCAGAGTAGTATTGACGTTTGCTTTTGATCCCATTTCCACGAGTTCCATTCTTTATTACTAATAAGGTCATCACGTTGAACGTTTACCACTAGTATCAAATCAGTGGTAATTCCGTTGCACAAAACCATTATTTTGTGTATGAAACATTTTCAGAGGTCAGACAATGTTCGAAATATATCATAATAAAAACGTCTATTCAACATCTACTTGGGAACGCACATTGTTAAGTTGTTCAAACCAGGAGTGTTCACTCACCTCACCGGACAAACAGTGTATGTTTGTGCAAAACCCGCCATTCCCCGCGATCAACCTTCAGTGTGGCTAATCTTTATTTTTTACCACGTCAAATGTACCTTGTTGCCTAATCGAATCAACGAGTCTCATGGTCAGTGTCCTGAATTCAGATTGCACTTCAATTAGCAGATTCCCAGGTTCTTCCTAAATAAGCTAGCTGTCGGTGGGTCATCAAACCGGTTTCAGTCATTGTCTTCTCCCCGACTTACAGTTACAAATATCCCCGGGTCACGGTAAACCGAATTCGTGGGGAACGTTTCTTGGACGAGAACTATAGACCTCATACCCAATCTTACATTGACTGCGCACACACGATAATCATGCACACACACGCACGCACACACACACAGACACACACACACACCAATACTATACTATACTGCATCTCTCAGGTTTTTCCACTTTTGAAAGGGAGCAACTTGATCGATCCCGGTTTTGCAATAATTGATCGCATGAGTTTGATCTATATGTGTGCTCGCTTGTGCTAACAAGTCTAACACTACAAATGTTTGCAAGCAGATGGTTGCAGGGCACACCCGAGTTTGTTCACGCGTTATGAAACTAATTGGATAAATCGGTCTATGACCGGGGTCGGGTAACGTTTTAGCGCCAGGACACCATTGCCTCCCATAGTGAAACAAAATCAGGAGTCCTTATACGGCCTTAAATCAACAATGGGTGTCCCCTGCTGCGTTTTGTATAGTGTACTGTGTCAGCAAAGGTTTTGATCTTATCACATATGATCGTTCACTCCACCTTCCAGTGGTATACACCCAGCGACAAACGGTTCTCTTCCCATCAGTAACTGGTATCTGTTTAGAAGCTTTCTTGAAAATGGATCCGAATGCAACAGACATCTGGTGAGCTAACTATAGCGATAAATTTCCCCTAGTGTTAAATGCGTTCGATGTCCGAGCCTGGGTTGATTGATGCCCCATGTCAGAAGATGAAATCGAGCCACGTACTATTCATAAGAGTGTCCCGTTGGTGCGTTTCCAGTTGGACGATCCCGTTCTTGTGACAGAGAGAGAGAGATATGGAAAAGAGTATCCTGCAAGTTCATTCAGCTCAAGATGAGCTTCCTTTGGTAAGCATATAGATTTATCTTGCCCTCACCGAAATGTTGACAACTGAACGTGCATTCATTCAGAGCAAGCTATCATGGCTACGATATCGACTATTCCTTAACTCCCTAAGGTTAATGAACTTCTCACTTGTGTGACGTATGAAACTCAAGCTACCTGTTCAAAAGCATTCTGTAAAGTTAGAAAGCTTTCATATTTCTCACTCCGATTGAGAATACTTTCTGTTTTCCATAAACTGATGGTTAGGTTTGCGAATCCAAGCCTGCTAACCCACTGGCTGGATTGCTCTCCATTGACCAACCTCGGTATGTTGAACAAGACTTATTTACTATCTGGATCTCTGAAACACATCTCTAAATGTAGTGGCATCGTCAGGGATAAACTAGCCGACTACGAAAATGTGAAAATTTTATTGCAATAAATAATCTCAAACCTTCATCATCCATTACACAACGTATTTTCCAAAGATGTATCTACATCATCCACACGCTCAAGGTTCAAACTATTATTTGCACTTCATATCGTAATTCTATTTTGTCATATCTAACACGTCGACTGGTTGACAAGGCGAAAGTTTCCACAGAATTATGTAATTGCTTGCTTCATTGGCAGAGTTAATAACTACTGCTTTCAGGTTCATTATGTATGATTTCGTAAATTTGCATCCATAAACATGGTGTAAAATGTTGAAAATTCACCCATCCAGGTGCATAAAGCTACTATTGACATGACTTGACCAGACTTGAAACATAAAGTCAGCTTTTGCATGGGCGGCGCGGTTCCGAAAGTACATTCGAATGAATACAGATAATACATCCAAAGAGACAGTGATGAAGAGAACTTTCAAGGTGACCGAGTGGGCATTACTCGCTACATCTAGCGTTAGGTGTTCCCGATAGCGTTGGCGATTTGCTGAAACATGAGAAGAAAGTTGATGTGTGCGGAAACTTTCTCCTATGTACAACCTATACTCAATCATGAGGAATTGAGTGTTGAGAACACGGGGGACTGTTGGTCAACAACAATGCGTCACAGGATGGAAAGCGTCGATAACTCTGCCCGTCGACATTCAGATGTCGGCATGGTCTTTCGTCACTATCATTTGACTGACGAGTGTATCGATTTGATGCACTTGTTGTCGGCGAATAGTGAGAAACTGAGGATTATGAAAGGTGCTTCTTGGGTGGGTGCGAATCATACCTTCTGTCAGGGGGATTGTTAGCACTGACTTGCGAAAGCAGACTCTAATTGAGGAAGCCCCAGTAACCTACCTAACGGAACGCATATCAAACGATCGGCTTCTAGCCACTGCATGCGATAATCCAAATTCTTACAGAGCTCTTTTACCTAACTTTTTGATGTATTGAGAAAAAATTCAATACCCTTGGAATCAAAGTGGACCTACATGACTGATATAGTCATCAATGGGGACATAAACAGCTCCTTGTAAATGCGTTTTGGTGGACTTTCTACCCAAAATCAGTGGAGAAAACCGCAGTTAAACCTGCAAACAGGTAATTGGTCCGAATACCAGATGAGAACCAGACTCAGAGAAAATGGTCTAAATAAATCAAAGCAAATGTCCAAACTGGATGGGATGGGTGGGTACACGGCACATTAATGAGAAAAATAGTGGAACATGGTTTTAGAGACATTCCCAAACGGCTCAATGACCAGTGATCACACCTGTGAGTATGGTATCCTCGATTCAGTTTCTGTGATTGCCGAAAGTAAATTTCATCCTTCTGATGGTGCACGGTAGCGAATGAAGCCATAGAAAATGACAAACCAGCTTTGGAGTGGCGTTGTTGAATCTATCATGCCAATAACTCCTCTTATCTTGGTTCGACCTCTCCCAGTCGCACGTTGTTTCTGTTTTGGTGACCCCCTAACTCTTTATGGCCGGTAAATATGAGAACAAAACACTTCTTTCTGTCGAGAACACCCACACACATGCACAACTGCATGCAACTGCATACAAGCATACGGGTGCAAACTTTCAGCGGCTCAGTAGACGTTCCTCGTGACAGCCACCAGTGTGTCTTTCCCTTGACGTGGTGGCAACCGAAGGTGTTTTCCACTTGTTTGGTACTTTGACCTTAACAGCCGTTGCCTGTTTGGTGAACGCTAGAGAGAACTCCACAATTTGAGGTTATTTTATGTGCTATTCATGTAACTGTTTTTTAAGTTTGTTACCCCATTCACCGGGACACTCGTTCGTATAAACCGCTTTGCTCTTCTCACTTCGTCTTTCATTTTACTTGAGTTAAGCACCAAATCCAATTAACACACAAGATCCACAGAAAATTACCCATAGTAACAATTGACTAGCTTTCCCAAATGTGTTATTCGAAACATCATAGGTTAGCGGCAAAAGTTTCTGATCCAAATCATAATACAAACTCAGCATTTTTCTCATAAATTAAACACCTAAAACTGATCCCTCTTCCATTAAAATTATCTGTGAATTGCATGTCACAATGACGATGATGATATCCCGGCTGATGACAAAGAAGTTCATAACTCAAACGAAACAACCAAGTTCAACGAACAGGCTTCAAACGGAATAAATTCCAACGGATCCAAACGCACATACCATCTCAGCTGAGAGAACGTTAGCTAGTGAATTTCTCAACGTTTGATTGGTAACATACAATTTTGTAATGGATGCATCAATTTTCGATCACGTTTTCAAACTAATCTGCACAATTCCTCAGTAGACCACCGACGGAATAGTATGTTGCTTCTGTAACACACCTGGCTCATTGCCAATTTAGGTTGTGTTCATCTCTCCCTAGACGTGTTAATGCAATATGGTTAGTTTCTTGCATCTATGTCACAGATTGTCAGGGATTCTAATTTGTGGAAGTTTGCAACGCACTTCCGAACTTGGTCCACGTTCGCCTCACGTATCCTGTTGCACACTGAAGCTCGAGCTTAATAAACTGCACCCTACCCGGCTTTTCCGACGAGTGAAAATAACAGAACAGTGGAATTTAATAAGACCGTCAATATGTCTATCTTTTCAAGCCTAGTGGAATAAAACTACATGATTACTGAGTCTNCCCCCCCCCCCACCCACCCCCACACACACCTATTTTGTTCGTAGTCATGAGCCTAAGGAGAATCAAAGTCGCAATGGCGCCACAGTGGAAATGATCGAAATCGGCCTACATACTGCTCCACACTTTGGCTCCCCAAAACAATTCGTAAGGACACTCAGTCTTCCGTGGCCATCACGAAACATCAC